ATGTCTAGAAATGTATAAAAATTGGCATATTTATTAACCTTGAGTGAGACCTCCACGAACTTTTTATGGTACAATGGTGGGGGAGACCTCCTCTTTCGATCCCCCCATCCCCACCCCCGAAGGGGGGTGCATCATCTAGACCTTTACCTTATTATTTTGTCCTGAATCGCTGTCACGAATTCCTCAATTTCTGAGAATATATTTCCTTTCTTTAACCACATATCATAACCTTCTCTATCTATATGTTCCTGCTGTTGTTGGTTCGGGTATTTTCCATGAATCACTTCTGATTTCCACATTTCAATTTTGAATTTTTCTTTCTTAATTATGTCCTCAGGATTAAAATCTGCATCGTTAACGTACAGTGTGTTATTATTATTAGTATTATTATTGTTTAGTAAAATATGTAGTATGTAGTATTTTTTTTTTTCGTGAGACCGTACGAACACTCCATTCATGCACATGATCACGCGAGTAATCTCGCGGAAAAACACGTCATCGAATGCAACAGGTGTTCCTTATTTACAACTCTTGATTCATATCATATTTATACTTACGTGGTGAATACGGAAGAGCCAGATGCAATAAAACGAAACGTATCAGCAATGTTTGCTTAATCAAATTATGTGGGTACATAGGTATTTAATAACGATTAATGTTGTGCCTTTTTGATTAAAGACACATTGACACATTGACGATCAAAATTGGCATAGTTCTTCTTTCGTGCTTCCACTTGGGACTGCAGTCATTTGCTGCATTTTAAATGCACCCTTGTTAAATTGGGAAATTCTTCATGAGTCCTACAGACAATGTGAATAATATAGGGTTGTTCGGAAAGTCATTTCGTTTTTCTTTATGGAAATGAAAGACAGTTTTCGTATAATAAACAAATACTTTATTAAATTAGATATTGACCGTTCTGGTCCAACACCTTTTGCCATCTATCTGGTAGTAGCATAATTCCACGCTCATAAAATTTTTGGTCTTTGCTGGCAAAAAACTGATCGAGGAGGTTTTTGACCTCCTTATTTGAAGTGAAGGTTTTACCGTCTAAAAAATTTTGGAGTGACCGGAACAAATAATAATCCGATGGTGCCAGGTCTGGAGAATATGGTGGGTGTAGCATTGTATCCCATTCAAGCTGTAAAAGCTTTTGGCGAGTGACCAAACTTGTGTGAGGTCTCGCGTTGTCTTGGTGACACACTACACCTTTCTTGTTGATTACTTCTGACTTTTTCTGTTGAAGTGCATCATTCAGTTTGTCCATCTGATCACAGTAGACTTCCGAATTAATCGTTGTGTTATCCGGTAAAAGCTAAAAAAAAAAAACGATTCCTTTTAAATCCCACCAAACAGACAGCATCACCTTTTTTTGGTGAATATCGGCTTTGGAAATGGTTTGAGCCGGTTCATCTTTTTTGCTCCATGACCTCTTGCGTTTGACGTTGTTGTATACAACCCATTTTTCGTCCCCAGTGATGATGCGCTTCAAAAACGGATCATTTTCGTGACGTTTGAGAAGCGAATCGCAGACGTCAATGCGGCGACACAGATTTCTCTCTGTGAGAACATGGGGAACCCATACATCGAGCTTCGAGGATAATCCCAGGCCTTTCAAGTGGTCATAAACTGTTGAATTTGATAAATTTAACCTCAATCCGATCTCACGTGTTGTTATTCGCCGGTTCACATCAACTAATGCCTTTATCGCGTCTTTATCAGCTTCAACCGGCCTTCCCGAACGTGGTGCATCTTCGACATCAAAATTGCCGGATCGAAATTTAGCGAACCAGTTCTGGCACTGGCGTACTGTCAACACACCTTCTCCATACACATCAGTCAATTTCTTTCTGGCTTGAACAGCATTTTTACCCTTTCTGTAGTAAAACAATAAGATATGTCGAAAATGCTGCTTATCGCTCTCCATATTTAAAAGGGCACCAACAAAAAAATACTGCGTTTAATTGGAATTTTTCACACACAAGCCTTGCTATATTATACGGCTTAAATGTGAAGTTGGGTGCAAAAGAGTACAATTAAATCCTCTATCGGGAAAAAACGAAATGACTTTCCGAACAACCCTATAGTAATAGTATTTATTAACTTTGAACCCCTATAAGTTTTCATGGGGGTGAGACTGCCACGAACTTTTTATGGTACAGTGGTGGGGGAGACCTCCTCTTTCGATCCCCCCCCCACACCCACCCCCTTCGGGGGTGGTGGCCATCAACTAGACTTTTACCGAACTTTCTTTAAAGTCCGATGCTGACAACATGCTTAAATTCTGCTTGTCTGCATCTCTTTGTGTTATACATGTTTTGGTGTATTGTTATTCCTTTTTCTTTATTAGTGCCCGCTGCAATGCATATCTGACATCTCTTTTCTAAGTTTACGATATTCCCTACAACATCTGTCGTAAGTAAAAGTAGGCGTTCTATCAACCGCTCTAGTCAATTTAGTAAGTTGAAAAATGAAAGTAAATGCGATAGTTTTATTGCGGACTATGCCAATTTTAAATATCCCAATTATATCAATCTTACTAGCGTCCCAAACCAGTCATCAAGTCCCGTTGTGGAAGTTGCTTAAACACCAAAGCAATAAAATTTTAATTTTCGGTTGACGGATTTTATCCGGCTGGATATCCGATATTAGTTGTGTCGGGTAGTCGGTTATCCGGTGTGCAGCAAAATCACTATCCATTCGATGATTCGATATCGAAGATTAAATGAAACTGTACAATTTAAATTTCGAATTATGAGTTTTTTTTTTTCTCATTTGTCAATTTCGCAAATAGAAGAAAGAACAATTTAATTCGTATCCAGTATTTAAATTTACAGCCGTTCAAAATTTATTATAACATCTATCAATACCTAAATAAGCGATGTAACTGAATGTAATTTTTAACTTCATTAATCAGTAATCAGCATTTAATACATCGATTCCAGCATTTGCATCTTTATTATAACGAACGTGTGTGCATTTATTTATAATTAAGTAATTAAATAAATTAATAACCAATGTTAACAAACCGATATATGAAGTAAGTCAAGCAATTGTTGTAAAAAGTTGATAAATGATAATAACGGGAGTGATTATAATGTATTAACAAGAAATATTAAATTAATGACAGAACGATAAGGGCTTATACATATGTTGCACTGATGGTTGTTAATAAATTATTGTCAATATAGATGATAAGCGGATTTTGTTTTCTCTTTTCGATAGTATCATAAACTTCGTTGCGGCCGTTTCATTGGCGATGGCCGGTGGGTCATAATGCTATCGCTTTTTAGTAATGAAAAATTCGAGCGACGTCATTGCACGTACGATATACACGCCTCCCTGCGTTCCACAAAGCTTCTCTCTGTCTTATCTTTCCTTATCATTATTTTACACAACGCCAAGCTAGGCGGCTAATTTCACAATTCGAAATAATAGCGTATTGGTCTTATCGTTGCACTTTTTCAAAAATACACGAGAATAAAAATTGTAATTTTCGGCCACATTCTTGATTCGTTTAAAAACGTAATTTTAAGAAAAGCCGATAGGGCGTTCGAGACATTGAAGTCTGTTCGTTCTCACAGTTCAATCGAATTTTTCATTTTCAAGTTCAAAAATTCGAACTGCAGCGTTACAATGTACTGTGCGTTTTTAAAAATCGATTTAAATTGTAACTTTCGCGGACATTTTTGACTCGTTCAAAAATTTAATTTTGAAGAGCCGGTGGGGCGTTCGATGCATTGAAGTCTGCCCTTTCTGATGGTACAAGCGGTTTTCACATTTGACTAAAAAAATTCGAACTGCAGCCTTACAATGTACCGTGTGTTTGTAAAAATCGATTTAAATTGTAACTTTCGCGGACATTTTTGACTCGTTTAAAAATTTAATTTTGAAGAGCCGGTGGGGCGTTCGATGCATTGAAGTATGCCCTCTCTGATGGTACAAGCGGTTTTCACATTTGACTAAAAAAATTCGAACTGCAGCCTTACAATGTACCGTGTGTTTGTAAAAATCGATTTAAATTGTAACTTTCGCGGACATTTTTGATTCGTTTAAAAATTTAATTTTGAAGAGCCGAGACATTGATGTTCTCTTTCTCACGGTTTAGTGGGATTTTACTTTTGATTTCAAAAATGCGAACTGCAGCGCGGTAATGTACGTACGTGGTTTCCAAAATCGGTAATTTTTGACTCGTTTGGAGGTAGATCTTTTGCGGTGGTATAAATAAGCCTTTTTAATTATAGTGGTGAATTTATACGCATTTGCTATTTCAAAATTAAAAAAAATTGTCTTTAGAATTTTAAATATTGCGCGCCTGTCTTGAAAGCTGCCAGGATATGTCAACACAGCGCTCCCTTGCGTCATCTTCGGTAACGTTCAGGTAATCTCGTGCCCAGTTTTGTTGTTGTTTTATGTAATTATCATAATGGTTACTGTCAGTGGAAGGATTTAAATTTTATCAATGTATTGTTTTAAACAGGCATATGCAACAATCAACGACTGTTTAGCAAAATAAAGTAGTACATAAAATGCGGTATGTATTACTAGCTTCGTCGAGTTTAACGAATACGTAATCTCGTCGATGACGTATTTCCTTCTAAAGCACTAGTTTGTTTTCGTACTCGTCACGTTCTGGCCATTTTTTCGTTTTGTGGTTTTTAGTGTTACTTTGGAAAAGGTACTTGTTAATTAAAATTTCCTTCACAACAGAATTTGTGGTTTATCCATTGTATATTTTTTTATTATTCGGTTTTTGATTGTTTTTACGATTCCCATCAATTATGTTATTAACAGCAGTAAATATACTTTACTCCTCCATATTTGATAATCAAGGCAAGGCGTGAAAACTTGTTTATGTATGTTTAATACTAGTAACAATTCAGTAAAAACAAAGTGATTTTATAAAGTATATTGATAACAAAATTACTATTTTCATTGATAAACCTTTTCTTGTTCTACAGATTTATAATAAGCTTTTATTTGTTTTTTACTTTTTACAGATACACATAGGAATACATCTCGTTCTGCCTCTGCTAAACGATCTTTCCATTAGCAGTTGAACCTACAGAGACAGCGTAATTTCTTCTGAAGTTTTAAGGTGTCTAGAGGTAAGATGGCTGAAAATGAAAATAAATGTTTGAAACTTGCTAACCGTTCAAAAATAATTCTGTTACGTAAAAAATAAGGTACATATCAATTTATTATAGAAAAAGTACATAGTTGTTACAAAGTAATACAACGTATTTATTGTTTTTTTTCTTATATTAATTATTTATTTAATATAAACAGAAAAGGGTTCAGTATTACTTTAAAAATGTATTACGCACATTATTTACTAGGAAAGCTAAACTAATTATATCTGAACACTTTTTCATAAGGTCTCATCTTGGAGGAACATTAGAAGCACTCCAGTTGTCATTAAATAATGGAGCATAGGTTGTGTCAGTCCTCCATTGCTTTAGAAGGCAGTTGTACCTATGGCCCTGAAGAGAGTATGAAAATGCAATTTCTTCATTAGGAATGGAGGCACTGTGCTGTTGTTGCAGAAAGGATTTACAACAATGAACTGGTATGTAATAGTATCAATTAAAAATAGTAAATGGGGTCTCAGAAACTTCAGTTTCTTACACGTTTGTAACCTGCTTCAATAAGGCAACTTTTAAACAACATTTCAGATATGGCAGATCCATAACAGCATAATTAATGTGGAACTAATTTTATCAGTGTGAATATCACCTATTTACTTGCTTTAAAAGGGGTAATTAATTTGTTTTTCTTGCCCATTTCTATAGATTGCCCATTAAATGAGAAGGAATTGCAGTTAATTTTGGTGCTACTGAAACAACCAATTCTTTTGATATCTTCACCTTGCAACATTTTGCAGTTAATTTTGGCCCTGAGAATAGGATGCAATTGAAATTATTTAGAAGTTACTGAAAGGACAAATTGTCAGCTGTGACATCTCTTCCAGATTTTGTTTGGTCTTCGTACTAGTAGATTTTAGAACGCTACTTTCTACAGTTAATTAAGGTGAGAATACTTGATATAATTAATTTTAATTGCACTTTATTAATCTATAGTGGTATTTTTTTTAAACTGTTATCATTTGGCCAGAGTATAGGTTGATGTTGTGACGTATGTATAGTATTTTAAATATCTATAGTCCATAGCACCTATGGTATGTCGTGTAACCTTTATCTATTGTTTACAGTTTAAATTGATGGTGCATCTGTGGGATTTTAATAAATTAATGTTATGTGCATCTATGATTGTTTCACATTTATATGTCATATTTAGTCTGTCATTAGTAAACTTGCCGCTTGTCACCATTTTATAATTCAGTTGTTTTACTTGGTTTTTGATGCGTAGTTTTGGATGTGTTTGATCTGTTCCTTAATTAATAGTGTAATTAATATGTTTTTTTGCCCATTTCTGCAGATTGTTCAACAAGTGAGAGGGAGTTGAAGTTTATTTTGGTCGTACTGAAACAACCATTGTCTACATGGGTGTGGTCTTTGGTGAACTATATTCTTTGATTTGCGCTGAAATAAGGAATTTTCTGCTTTGGCATTATTCCTGGATTTGGTTTGCTTTTCACATCTGCAAACTATGGAACATTACAGTTAATTAAGGTGAGAGAATACTTGATATAATTAATTTTAATTGCTCTTTATTAATCTGTTTGCCACCGTATCTGTTTCAGATCGACGTTGGTGAAGACAAAGATGACCCCATAGTTAAAATCTTGCATGCTCTATCTAGTAGAATTCATTAAGTTGATTTTATTCAAATTAATTTTTTATTTTGCATGTTTTTTTGTAGATTTTTGTAGTTTTTTTTTTTTGTTTGTAAATTTGATTTAGTTTTTAGTTTGCATGCTTATTTTTGTTCATTTTGTTTGAAGTAATTCTCGATTGTAAATGTTTTTACTTTTTTTATGTAATAGTAGTGTAGTAGTAGAAATAACACATTTAGTAGTTGTAGTATAGTCTAACCTTGCTTACCTCTTCGCTTAGCTTACTGCATATTCTTCCTATTTTGCTTTGCATTTACCCTACGAGTTCTACATGATTCAACGTTTCGTTATCGTGTTTGTTTCTTCTCACCCTTGTGGAATTAGGGAGGGCCTCCCCGAACGACTTCCCTTGGGCTTAGCTATTTAGTTGATCTTAAAAGTGTCTTATACACTTTTCGCGAGTCTACTCTAGCGTTACTTCCTTTCAGACAGGGTACAGTGGGTT